GAGAGAGAGAGAGAGAGAGAGAGAGAGAGAGAGAGAGAGAACCAGCTCAGAAGTTGCCATAGCAACGAAAGCATCTGCTCCTGACCTGTGTTTGGAGAAGTTTGCCCCAAACACAATCTGACCTCCTTGAGTTGTATGATTCTTCTTTCCTTAGGATTAGAGATCCAAATTTAGTTCAGATTCTACGTTTTAAAGTTCATCTTGATTTAAATTCTAAACTTCTCAAGTGTTATTTCCGGAGCTCTGGGCTTATCGTAGCGTTCCCAGGAAAACAAGTCAGCCTTGGGGTCACTTAGTACATTATCATCAAGTCGACACACAACAGGAATGAAATGTAACTCAAAACAAAAAGGCTGTTTCAGGTTAGCCTGGTCAGAAGAGAAGAGTGCTCAGTGCTGCTCAATGAGGGTTCGGCGAGCAAATGAAGGGTAAGAAAGAAGAGCCCCATCGGAAGACCGGAAGGGACAGCTCTCGCCTTTTTCCTCCGGAAACCCCACCACCCCCTGACAGGATGAAGCTTTCCTGGGTCCCCTTAGGTTCTCAGTCCTGATTTTACACCATATCATGAACTTTTCCTTAGTAGTCTAGTTTGTTTATCCTCCAGAATTCAGTCTTTGAGTCCTAGTGAAACCAAGGGCACCACCTTGGCTCTCTCTTCTTCACAGGAACTGTTCGGTATTACAAGTGAGGCAAGCCACTATGTGGTCTTCAGTTTCCTACCATCCATGTCCTTGTCTCGACTCAAAATCCTGGAGCCTTCTCCTGCACCAATGAAAACCTCCTCACGGCTTTTCTCAGACGCGCTTCTCCGTCTGTGAGCTGTTTCTAGTTGGCTGCATGCTTAAACTCCATGTGTGGGTTTCTATTTAATTTTCTCTTCCCCTTCTGGCTTATCTTCCAGGGCAGTGACATGGATTCCTCGGTTTATACTTCACTAACATGTCCAGCAATCTGACCGTCCCCATGTCATCTGATGCTGCATTTAGTTACACACACACACACACACACACACACACACACACACACACACACACACACCTCTGGGTTTATTTCAAAAGATTTCTGAGCTGACCTTTCTCTCTGGCCTTGCATAGCTTTTTTCTCCATTGCCCCGGGGACATTGTTCTTCAAACCTGCCCGCGACCTCCCTGCAGAGCAATGTCCGTGGCTTTGGTCTCCACTGATGTCATCACTTTACCCCTGCATCAGCCCCTCCACATCTGCTCCATGTCTTCTGCTGGAAGTCATGACCTCCTCTGCCTTTGGTATACACGAGCAGATAAAAGCCTAGGAAAAAACCCGGAGACCGTGGAGAACGAGAGGCACATGTGATGTCGTGCCATCCTGGGCATGCCACCCGAGATGATCAAAACTCCACTGCAGGCTGGGTGTGGTCTTTGGAAGAGCCCTGTAACCTCACTCGAAAGTTTCCATCTGCGAACACAAGAGAATTTCAGAAGGCGTCATCTTTCTTTGCTACTCTTCTAGATTGTTTGTGGGGTGTCCGCAAAAACGCAAGTTTCTTTTTCAGAAAGAGTCTCTCTCTCTTTCTCTCTCTCTCTCTCTCTCTCTCTCTCTCTCTCTCTCTCATATATGTATATATACATGTACATGTGTGTGTATCCTAAAGAAACTTGTTAATAAAAATGATCACCTGTGTAGGCCAACTTTTCATCATTGTGACAAAGCTTCCGAGACAATCTAAGTTAGAAAGAGAAGCAATTCATTCTGTCTCATGTCTCTGGAGTTCTCAGGCCATGGTCTGCCATTCTTTTCCTTCTGTGTCCATAGCAAAGCAGCAAGCACATCACGGCGGGATCACGAGGCTGAGGAATGCGAGGCACCCTATGTCTACGGAGAAAAGAGGGGAAGGATGGAGCTGAGTTCCCATCATCACTTCAAAGTCATGCTTCTGGAGACCTTACCTCCTCCACTAGTCCTCCTTTATAGGGGTCTATCGCATCACAACAGCACCCCAATGATGGTGGCCAGGCCATTGTGGCATATTGAAACAAACCACACAACTACTCCCATACGTTCATCCTGAAAGTTCCTGCCTGTCTATGCCAGAACAGAGTGTTGTAAAAAGTTCTTCAAGTAGACATTGACTGCTTTTGAGCTTGTGGACAACAGCAATGCAATCCAAGGGTCCTGAAGCCTCTAGCAACTTCGCCGGCACTTTGGACAGTGGATGTGGTTGGAGAAGAACTTTAAGAAGCACGGAGAAAGCGCTAGTCAGGGCAAGAAGACTTATTCTCGGGCTCTGGGCAGATCATTCCGGCACGATAAAACTTTTCAAAAGACGCAGAAATTGAACTATCAGTCTCTGTCACAGAAGTCTCTAGAATCACTTCTAACTTTCAAACATGAGAATGATCACCCCAAATCTACTTTATAGATCGCTAAAGATGTAGCAGGCCCACATTTGTTTTTCCTATGGTACACACCAAGTTTTCTTTAATTATAGCCACATTGGGCTTCAATGAAAGTTTCATATTTGAATTTATGGAACTGTTATATTGAAATGGAATTATGTTACACCTTTAAACCTCAAGTGGATACTAATATTTTATTAAATACAGCTGCCACCAGGCAATAAAACCTCCAAGGGGCCGAGCAAAGGGTGTGTGGTGCTTTTGTATCTGTTTCTTCTCCTGGCCGCCATATGCTAGCGATCCGTATGTGCTGTCTACTGTTCAATATGTACTCCAGCATAGTAGAGACTTAGCCTAGAGCACTGCACAGCACCTGCAGAATTTCAAAACCCTGAACGCTGGATGTCACCAAACAAAACCCTGAGCTGCGCTTTCAAGCGCAAACGCACTTACAGTTGGTTAATGAGAGAGGCAGGGCTGCTGCGGAAGCCAGCAAAGTTAATTTCGTTGTACAAGTTTGGGAAATAACGATGGACTTCTGATGGCAGAGCCTCTGCAGTCATAATTAGCTTTAAGATAAATCCATTTGGTATGCGTGCAGTTTTTCATTAGGCCACACATCTTCTCTCCCATGTGCAATGGTTGAAAGGTTTACATTGCATAAAATTAGGACTGTATAAACTGTGGGCTTCATCGCCTTCTCCGATGTGATTGCGCCTTCCCTTGAACACAGTAGCCTAAATGATAGCCCCCATTGTATGCTATGCATGTCAATAAACACCGAACACGAATGTGAATCAATATTGTGTTAGTATTGGGATTAAGCAAGCTATTTTCTCCTCCGTTTTTTTTCTCTTTACAGGAAGATGAATATGAGTAAATAAAATGAGTGTTTGTCTGAAACTGTGTTGGGGGATTAGGCTTTGTGCTTTCCTTTTGAAGAACAGCAGGCCAACTGGCAGGCCTTGGCTAGCTACCTGGGCCGCATGCATAGAGAAAGAGCTGCTCCCCCTTGCATCAGCAAGGCCTGCTGCTTTGAAGGACGCAGGGAGGCGGGTCTCCTCTCGCCCAGAAAGACCAGGTGCACTTTCTCCAGCAGGGAAAGGTTATGCTTCATATGACTTCGCTTTCTCTCTGCAAATTAAGGGACAATTTATGAGTGTCTAGACAGGAATTAATCGGAATAATATTGGCTGCTTTTGACCCGAGAGTGCTATTACAATAAAGTATATACAACACAAATATAGGACAAAAATCATTTATATAGCCTATTATCATGCCAGCAAGCCAGAGAAAGCTTACAATAATAAAATGATTTACAAAAGAAAACACTAACAAAAACATATCTCGGATGATGGATGGCTTTGAAAAGCAAACTTAATCTGTTTCTGAAGTTATAGTTAGAGAGAAAGAGAGAGTCTCTGGAAGTGCTTCCGAGATAAGGCGATTCTAAATGATGTGGGAACTATAAAGTAGATTGGTGGCGAAGAACCTGCAAATCCAGGACAAAAAGAGTTTCTGCAATTTATATGAAGTCAGGATACAAAAATCGCTTAAATGCCTGCAAAGACTAGACCTGGAGAATATATGTTCCAACCTCAGTCTGCCAAATGATTGTCCAGTGGAAACAGAAACCATGTTTGCAAAACCAGGCAAAAGGGATTGTTATCATTTTTTATGAAAAATATAAAAAAAGGGTTTTCTAAATGATGTGTGTGTGTGTATAAAAATCTTCTATAACTATTTTTAGAGATGTCTTTTGGAATTTGCTGGAGAAAGGTATGAAACATTTAAAGAATCAAACAAATCCTAAAAATAATGATTCAATAATTCTAGTACTAATTTGTCAGTTAATTTTGATGTTTGTGTGTTTTCTGTATTTAAGAAGCTTTTTTTAAATAGTAATGACTATTATTGGTTAAGGCTTAATTTGGTCAAATTCAAATATTTTTGTCAATAAGAACAAGAGATGTTATTTACTTTATCGTTTTAAAAGGTATTTCCTAATCATCAATTAATGAACGCAATGTAAATATGTACAAAAGTATTAATAAGTTGGGAAGACTCTCACAAGTCCAAAAATAATCAGTTAAAGTCCTGATGTGTTTTTTTTTAAAATGGTGATATTTATTTCAACTTAACTCTACACTGATTTTGAATAAAGAAGTCAATAAATAAAAGGCACTATTCATTTCTGTTTAAAAAACAAACTAAAGCCCCAGCCACACAAAGTACAGGAAAGAATTATGGTTACTACAGAGCAATTTAATTTTTCTTATTATTTTTAGCAATATAGCAATCATGATTATTACTGCAAAAGTATTTTAACTGAATTATCTTGGTTCCAGTTTAGGAAAAAAAAATAAATCCGTCATTTAAAAGCACCTAACACTGATCTCTCTCTCTCTCTCTCTCTCTCTCTCTTTCTCTCTCTCTCTCTCTCTCTCTGTGTGTGTGTGTGTGTGTGTGTGTGTGTTTGTGTGTGTGTGCAGAATTAGCTACCAGAAGAATATTTGTACATTTTCACTCTCTCTTGCCTAAAGTGACAGATTATTACGTTTATCATCACACACAGACAAACACAGTCATGCATGAACATATACAGGTGTGAGACATAGGCATGTACGCATACATACATAGAAAGTTCTTCCTGATTTTTGTAAGACTCTGTGTGTTTCTTCTTTTCTGAATCTATCTGCCTTGCCAGAAAAGACAAAGCAGGTCACAGAGAAGAGATGATACTTCTGATTTTGCTCCAACAGCCTGGACCTCAGTGAATTTAATCAGCTGAGCCCATGGCTGCCGAGCTGGCCAGTCTCCCTATCTCACCCTATGGAGCCAGCTCGCTGAAGCCCCGGTAGTGATATCCTGTGCTTTCTTCTGCTGTGGATGGTGTCCAATGGTTCAGGTGTAAATTACTGATCCTGCGGGTCAGACTCTTCAGGAAGAAAATACAGCACAAATAGAATGTGAATTATGCTAGACTAAAAGCTTTTAATTCAGACTTCTGTCCATAATTTGCAGTTTCTTTGTCCTTTAAGTCCCTGGATTTATACTTAAGAACGGGAGTGACTCAGCCACAGCCCACAAAGGTGCATCTCCTATCCCAGGGCATTCGTTACACACCCGGGAAAGCCTCTCGCCTTCCTTTCCCAGAATCATACAGAGTTTCAAGGGCAGTTTTCCCTCATTACATACTAGCTTTATTTATTTATCTATTTTACTATCCCATTTCTTTAATGGTTTTGGCTAAAACCTGCTCTATTTTTCCCCAAGCCCAAACCTAAAATTTGCTCACATGCATGCTTCATTCAGGCTGCCTCTTGGGCTCCCCTAGGAAGTCAATCAAATGTTGTCTCCTTAAATTACCCCTAAGCCACCATGATGAACAGTGCCAGGTACACACCCAACAGCCAATGCGAATGTCTTCTCTTACCATTTTCCTGATGCAATTTCGTGGCCAACCCCAAGTCCTCAGTAACAATCCAGCTCCATCACTGGCATCATGATGATTTTGCCAAAGTCAGACACAGCCAGTGGTAGACAACTACACAAGAAAAAAAAGAGCTGTTAGGTACTATTTAAAAAGATTTTGCCTATTTGTGAAATAGTAAGGCAAAATCTTACTATGTTGCTTTCCTTTTCTGCCATGAATGAACTTGGCTATGTTTGCTGAGGTGTCTGGATCGCTGGCAGCCTTATAAAAGACAATACTAGAGAAGGAAGAATGTTTGAAAGTCTTGGTGACATGGCAGAGTCATTGGGCTTACAGAAGAACCATCTATCTCTGGGCTTTCCACATGATTAAATAAAGAAATCGCTGCTAATTTAGCTCCCATTCTCTTGACAGTCTGTTTCTTTTGGCTGCTCCAACTGGACATATATGAAACTCTCGTGTAAATTCTCTGACGTATTATTTCTTCTGGATAAGAGGTCCGTCATAGGTATACCTGGAGCCTAGGGATGAGGAGGGAGCAGTAATCTGCCTTGTATCTCTTTACACAGTGTGTCTAAATGCCCAGCAAAGTGAAGTAGGAGGAATTAAAATATGCCTAGATTTTCCTGGCCCAGCTGAGAAACTATTTATGTGAATATACGCTTGCTTCTGATACATTTAGAAATAATACTAATTATACTAGCAATAAATGCTACCAGATATTGCACTTTTGCTCTCAGAAGGCTTGTTACTGTGTTCTGCCTATGAATTACTTCGTGTTATTCATATCCGTAGCCTTTAGAGGGAGAGATGCTGATCTCTGGCAATAAGCGTGGGCTCTGTAAGACTGAGGTGGCCCAGCTCACCTGCTGACATCCATGCAAGTTCTTTGTGCTGCCGCTGTCACAAGATCCCTAAGGACAGGTGCTTTATGAACAAAATGAGAGTTTCCATAGCTCACAGTTCTGGAGGTGGAAGGGCTGACTTAACAGCTTGTTTCCTAGTTAAGGACATCCCATTGGCAGAAGCGGGTAGGAGTGGCAGTGATCACGTGCTGAAATGGAGTTGAAAGAGTCTACACTCTTGAATTACT